AGGGAGAGAGATAGAGAGCTAGAAACATCGATGAGAGAGGAACATGGATCAGCTGCCTCCTGCACATCTCCTACTGGGGATGTGCCCGCAACCCAGGTACATGCCCCTGACCGGAATCGAACACGGGACCTTTCAGTCCGCAGGCCGACGCTCTATCCACTGAGCCAAACCGGTTTCGGCCCGGGTTTTTCTTAAGTGACAAAATCATTTTGATCATTTTAGAGAAAAATGTCTGACAAATACCCAAGTCTCAGTCACCATAGTTTGTCAGCCAGTTGTTACTTCAAGTAAAAAATGGTGTTCCATGAAAAACACAGAAAGTTCAGCTCACAACTCAAATACACAGGTGCTTTTCTTTTGAGAAAACCACCATACTTCACAATATTAAAAAGGTGAATACTCAAGGATTGAGAGTTAATAAAATGAATAATTTTTACTGCTCCAACAAAGGCATTTTTAGGTTAAATTGGCATCCTCCCAATCCCTTCAAGTCATACAGTTTGGTGCCAACTGTCTTGATTCATGATAAGGTACGAGCAATTTTACCAACTCTCAGTGCAAATGTCAACAGTGAAAAAAGCAAGTTATTTCTTAGTAATAATTTTGAATTCATCTTCAGATCCCCTGAAGAAGAGATTCCCAGAGGTCCATGAAAGTAGACTTTGAGAACCACCTCATTGAGTTGATTCCGAGAGAACTAACATGCCACTTAAACATTAGCTATTTCAGCAAGAGTTAAATAAGCTTCAAAATTACTCCACATATCATCCAAGTAAGGCAGAGCACGGGGAAAGTGACAGGGTGCGGTCTACCATATTCAGTTTGGTTGTTAATCCCAAGTCAGACATTAAAAAAGAATCTGTAGGGGTGCAAGCCAATATAAATGATAACTCGTGATAATTTAATTTACACTACCCTGACAATGTTCTTTGATTTTTGACCATCTACTTTTGTGGATAATCAAGGTCCTTAATTTTCCTTCCCTATGTATTTATGCTATCTTTTTTTCTTGTCTCATCCATTCATAAGTATTAGAGATAGAATCAGTGAAAAGTGAACATTCAGCCCTTTCTCATCTCTACTAATAAAAGGGTAATATGCTAATTAGACCAGACGTCTTCTGGACATCATTCCAGACGTCCTTCCTGATGAAGCCGGGGCTGGAGGGAAGCCAACCCTGGTCCCGGGTGCCGGAGGGAAGCTGGTGCTGGCAGCTGGGGGAAGGAAGGCCTACTCTTGCACGAATTTTCATGCATTGGGCCTCTAGTTACTCATATAAATCTCAAACCCTCTGTTTCCCCCACACTAAAAAGACACAAGCACACCACTTTCTGGCTTTGCCTTTCTTTGTGGTAAACCTCCTGGTCTGGGTCCATCCTCGGGCTTCTCTCTCAGTGACCATACTCTACCCACTCTGGGAGACAGAGGATGATAAAATCCCACTTAATTATATCATGTACTGACTTAAACCAATTCCACCTGGTGGACACAGCCACATGGAAAAACTAAACTTCTCATCTGCCTGTCATCTATCTTTCTCCACTGGTACTTCCTGAACAAGGAGTTAAGAATCCCTGCTGTCACATTAATTACTCTTAGCATGAAATATGTTCAGGGAGCTACAGGCCCCACCCATTTAATTAATGGACAATTTCAATTTGCATGTCTAGATTGATCCAAATAATACATTTGAATTCCTCACATTTAATATGAAACTTTCACTACTTGTAAAAGCTGTTGTAAAACTAAACTCCTCTTTTAACAATGGCCAAATTAAACCAATTATATTTTTTATTTTTATTTTTTTTGAGAATACTTTTACTTTTATTGAATGTGTATTATTATTATTTTTTTAATATATTTTTTATTGATTAAGATATTACATATGTGTCCTTGTCCCCACGTTACCCTCGAACTCCCCCGCCCCCACGTTGTCCGTGTCCATTGGTTAGGCCTATATGCCTGCATATAAGTCTTTTGGTTGATCTTTCCCCCTTACCGCCACCCTCCCTTACCCTCCCTCCAAAGCCCGACAGTCCAATCAGAATTCTTCTTTGACTTATTTTCACTTAATAATAAATTATTATTCTTATAATTAAAGCAGCTAACAACGTGTTAGGTACCATTGTAGGCATTTTAAATTAACTCATTTATTACTCACACCCGCCCTATCTCATTAGAGTTCCATTAACAAATAAAAAATCTATAGCACAGAAAAGTTAAGTAACATGCTCCCAATTACCTACTAGAAGTGGCAAAATAAGGATTCAAACTCAAGTTTATTAAGGATTGGTCGTAGTCCCTTCCATTAAATGGTATTGTATTTTTTTAATTATAACATCTTTATTGAAATATATAATTCACATGCCATACACTTTACCCATTTAAAATGTATAGTTCAATAGATTTTAGTACATTCAAAGTTATATCATCACTACCACATTGCATTTTAGCACATTTTCATTACTTCCAAAAGACATCCTATACTCATTGTTTCTCCCACTCCCCACCCTATATTCCTGGCAATGACTAATTGTTCTGTCTCTATAGCTCTGCCTATTCTAGACATTTTATACAAATGGAATCAAATACTATGTGGTCTTTTGTGTCTAGCTCCTTTCCACTTAGCATAATGTTTTCAAGGCTCATCCATATTGCAGAGTTTATAAAAATCTTACTCTTTTTTTATTTCCAAATAATATTCTATTGTATGGATATACCATATTTTATTCATTCATTATTTGAATGAGCTTGGGTTGCTCCACTGTTTGGGTTTTATAAATAATGCTGTTATAAACACTCATGTGTAATTTTGTGGGTGGACATAAGTTTTTGTGTCTCTTGGGTATACAAAATAGGAGTGGAATTGCTGGGTCATATGGTGACTCTATGTGTACCCTTTTGAGGAACTTCCAGACTGTTTTCCACATTGATTGCACCATTTTCATTTCTAGGAGCCAGTGTATGACGGTTTCATTTCCTCCACATCCCAGTCTACACTTGTTATTATCTGTCTTTTTACTTATAGGCATCCTAGTGGGTAGGAAGAGGTATCTATCGCACTGTGATTTCGATTTGCATTTCCCTGATGGCTAGTTATGTTGAGCATCTTGTTATGGGCTTATTAGCTATTTGTATATTTTCTTGGGACAAATGTCTATTCATATCCTTTTCCCACTTTAATTGGGTAATTTATTTTTTTATTATTGAGCTGTAAGAGTTCTTTCTATTTTCTAGATACAAGATCCTGATTAGATATATAGTTTGCAAATATTTTCTCTCACTCTGTGGGTTGTCTTTTCACTTGTTTTTTCCACTTTCTTTCTTTTATTTTTTTAAAATATATTTTATCGATTTTTTACAGAGAGGAAGGGAGAGAGACAGAGAGCCAGAAACATCGATGAGAGAGAAACATCGATCAGCTGCCTCCCGCACATCTCCCCCGGGGATGTGCCCGCAACCCAGGCACATGCCCTTGACCGGAATCGAACCTGGGACCCCTGAGTCCGCAGGCCGACGCTCCATCCACTGAGCCAAACCGGTTTCGGCTTTTCCACTTTCTTGATGGTGACATTTGAAGCACAAATTTTTTTAAAAATTTTGATGAAGTCTAATTGACTTATTTTTTATTGCTTACACTTTTGGTTTTCTATCTAAGAAAGCTCTGCCCAAGCCAAGGTCATGAAGATCTACTCCTGTTATAATTTTAACTCTTAAATTTATTTCTAACTTTTCTTTAGTTGCAAATTAATACCACACTAATAGTACAAACACAAACACCCCATTTCCTTCCTTAGTACCAAAGTGCTTTTGTAGTTCTAGGACTTGTCTAGCCTATGGCCAGAACCTAGTTGTTCAAGGATTGTAATTTCTAGTATTAAACAAAGGCTCACCTATGGAATGTCACAGTGCCACAATTAAGGAAAGGTCTAAGGATAAAACTACCCTCCTTGCATTTTATAATCATAACTAGAGAATAAGCTTTTACCCTGAAATTTAAACTTAAGCAATCTCTACAGTCATAGTCATAAGCTTAACTCTTCGGAAAATATAAATTTAATCGTTGCACTTATAATTACTGAGACATGTCCACATGTTTCCATAGGATTCCTGTCATGCTTCCAATGTAACCATGACAGAGAAGCTATAACTTAAGTAACAGAATTTAACTCAACTGAGATTTAATGAGAGCCTACTATATGCAAAGCATTATAGGAAGTACTGAGATGGCTAAGTCACAGCTCTGAACTCAAGGTTATAATTTAGTGGGGATTAAGAAACAAAACAAGAGAAACTGACGGTTAGAGTCAGTCTTCCTGCAGGACCCTTATGACCTGAAGGACTTAATGAGGGGACCTCTCTCATTCTGAGGCTCAACAAATCCCTTGTCTCTATTCTGTGATCTAGGTGTTCCAGCTCTAAATCACAGAGACACTCCTGAAAAGCTATGTAAAAATTGTATTTTTATTAAAAAAAAAAAAAAGATATATGTAAGGGAGTGTGGCAAGTTGCAGGAAGTCCTATATAACATGAAAGTCTTCCTGTAATGTAAGGAATACCCTTCCTCACCTAAATCTTTGCTTGCTCAAAGCAGGACTGCTCCCCACTGTTCCCTGTGGGACATACCAGATGGTTTCAACATTTAGCTCTTTTGAGTACCAAATGCTTTTCTGTGGGGCTCCTTTTTAATGTGTAGTTTCTGAGTTACATCAAAACCTGATTCTTGGGGGCAATGGGGCGGGGGGGATATGAACACATATGCAATAACTTAATCAATAAAAAACAACAAAAAAACCCTGATTCTTTTTAAAGCTCCAATAAAACTAAATGTGCAATATGTCTTCTAGTTTAACACGAGGTAACTAGTTTCCAGTTCTCTCTTAAGACATACTGGCACCCAAATCTACATTTCTCTGTTCTTTGTGCTTCCAACTCCCCACTTCTAGCATGCTAGAAACATCCCATTGCTTCAGGTCAAATCAATGTTTATTTGATGAAATCAAAATTATGTGCTCTTCTACCAGAAAGAGAAATTGAAGAATATTTTGGCTGAGCTGTGTGGTTTATCCACAGTACCACATTCTGGTTTAAATGATTTCATCACTCGGTCAAGAGGCTACCACAATTTCAGTGGTTTTGTAGTCACAGTCAATAAAGTAAAGGAAAAAACACACACACTATTTACTTATATTCATGACTAAGCAAGTCTTGAAGGGAGCAGTTAGAAAGCGGCTTCAACAACTTAAAAAAAGCGCACAAAAATACTAATGACAGAAACCATTTATTCTGAACTAGGAGAAGCAAAATAATCAATAAGGTTGTGAAATAAAAGTTTTTGTCTAAATCAACTATGTCAGCTACTTAAGTCCTATTTTAGGCACCTAAGATAATAGACTTCACTTTAAAATTCTTTAGAAGATTTAGGGTAGGACAGACACTTTCTTTTTGTGTCTTTTGTCTTACCTTGTGGCAACAAGAGGGTAGCTGTGACATGGTGAGGCCCAGGCATCCCTTGTCCATGGCATACAGTCATAAAGCAGCAAATCCTTTTCAGTCACAGCCATGAGAACAGGTCTCCACTGTTGTCTTCCACCATCTAGTTTTGCCTGTTACAATGGTGAAATCCAGAAAGCAGAGCTAACTATAATGATATGTAATTATAAAAGTCGATTCAGTGGTGGTCTGACATAGCAGGTCTTGAGTCTCCATTTGTTTCTCCATCCATATTTTCTAAACATCAGTATTTCTCCAATATTTTTTGTAAGAAATATATTTTAAATACTTTCAATAAAGAATTTAAAAACCTGATTTAAATATTTTTTAAAAAAGAAAAATATTTTACATTACAACCCAATACACACACACATATATAAATAACTAAATGTAAAAATTTCCAACACAATATAATCTCTATATTTTGTGCAATGTACTCTGATCATTTCTATTTTTTTTTTAAATGCTGATGACCTACTGTGTTGTATTCTGGAAAACACACATATAAACTATTGTCAAATATTTCTCTATTATACTTGGGAAGTTTATGTTTCAGTTTCAAACATACCATTGCATTTACTTGCATAAAGTTCAATGATCTCTCTGAGGGTTTAAAATAAAGGAAAACCACCACTATTTATCCATACTGTCAAGGATCCAAGGCCCAAAAGCAAAAGACTACATTCAGAAAAAGCTTTGGTATCATCAAAATATTTGTCCTCATGGCCCTGGTCAGGTAGCTCAGTTGGTTAGAGCATCCTCCTGACACACCAAGGTTGCGGGTTTGATCCCCAGTCAGGGCACATACAAGAATCAACCAATGGAGAAGAACCGAAGATGGCGGCATAGGTTA